GCAGTAGCAGTAGCAGTAGCAGCTCCTCCCCCTACTACCACCACTAGTGCTGTTACTTTTCAACAAAAATCCGGATCCATCTTGGTACTGGTGCGAGCAACGGCACTAGAACTGTGGAGTACCGGCCTCATATTATGTCAGACTGCTGCTGCTGATGATATCGCCACTTCAAATCGATGCGTTGCTGTTCAAAATATCTCCTCTCACGGCAAGTACTGGCTCCTATTTGTTGCTTCTGCTGCAGAAGCTCTGACTATGGCCAACCCTTCTTGCCAGTGCATGCTTTCAATCGAACCAATCCAACGATCTCTAAGCGTTTAGGCTGGTAACAGGCAGCGCTCAGCACAAGCAGCGTTGCTAGATTTCAGGCATGTTGTAACCCACGGAAGCACCATGCAAGCACTAGAAAGGAAAAGTGAGCGCTCTCAGACACCTTGGTTATTCCTTTCTTGCCTTCGTTGCATGCCATGGCTGAAATACATGCTGGTGGCAAACGAGGCTAGGTGTGGCAACAGTTTGATGTTACCACATCTTTACATGTGCTTTAGCATTCGCCCCCTTGCTCAGACAGTGTTTGAATCTCATCCTGCCAGAGCTTCATTCATGCAGGCTGAGTGGCTGTAGATCCCACGAGCTAATCGACCTCCTGAAGCACTCATCGTTTGCCGAAGGAAAGACCTCTGGTGAACATGGAGTTCCATGGGGCTTGCTCGTTGTTCTCCTTGTGCTGTTGGGCTTGTGCTACCAGCTCCTCCAGCAGGCAGGGTAGGCTTTCGTTTAGCCGCTTTGGAGTCCTTGAAACGATTCTTTGCGTCACGCAGGAGGCAACGAGAAAGGAGGTGACCGTCCTCTTGGCAGGACAAGCTCTCGTGTGTTTGCTAGCATGCCTGCACCGATGGAAGTAGCTCAGGGACCATAGTGGTTGAGATTGCCGTTTTCGGATTCGGCAGGGAGTTGGAACCATCGGGCCGCAGGACTTCGAACTTCCATCTTTGGCGCGGCTGAATCTCGAAGCGCGCTGCCGCAGGCCGACTGCGCAACATTTCGTGGGTAAAGATTCGCCTGTGCTTTCCTTGCGAATGGCACGTACGAAGCCATGGGCAGGGACCTCCGGAACTTCCAAGAGATGTACAAGTCCTAGCGCCTTGGACAAGCAATGCTCGCTTCTCTACCATGCCCGACACAGAGTGGATACGTTCAGGACCTGCCTGACGACCATCACGGTCAAGTCTCTGCTCATCTCAGGTTTTCTTCGTGTTGGCCATCTTCATCATGAACTGGTCTGTGCGGATAGTGCTGGTCGAGCCACTGGCTCGGCTGGTGGTGGGCGTTCGTGGGGACGTGTGCCTCTGGCAGCACCAGAAACCGCTTCATCTCATACTCTGCCCGTAGCCCTTCCGCCTCAAAATCTCCGCGTAATTTGGCCCTTCGAGGGTCCTTCCGGGGCTCCCTGACTCTGAGTCTGCTTGAGCTCTGAAGCCGCTCTGATCAGCCCCATCGGTGCAGAATCCGAGACTTCAGCGCTGTTGGGTTCCCGAAAGCCCTGGGTTGTTGAGCGGGCCATGGAGGTTGGTGAAGTTCTCGCAGTCGGTCCTGGAGGCGCCGTTGAAGATTTAGCACGGTTCTTTTTTGCGGGTTCTTCGCCGGGCAGGCTATCAACCAGCTATTGTCCTAGGCCAAGACGTTTCCTTCTCGAGATCAAGACTTAGAAGAAGCACTTGATCTAGTGAGGGCTCAGTCGCACCTGTAAGAGAGATCCGTCTCTTGCCCCGCTCGAGCTCACTGCCTGGCCCGCAGACTGCGGCCAGGCCCTGATCTACGGGACCTTCTCTCTTATCGGCATCTCCATTGCCGGGAACACAGAGCCGATTTCTGAAAAAGTCTTCTTTTCTGGGAAGCCTGGGTTCCTTGAGGTTCCGGCTCAGCCTTGGTCTTGGCCGTCGGCAAACTGGTGGCGAGGCTTTGACAGCGGTCCCTTGGCTTTCCTAGCACCACCGGTGCGTTTTGTGGCCTTGAGGTGGCGGAGACTTGGCAAGAGAAACTGTACCGGTCTGCTTCCGCGGCCAGGAGCAGAAATGGTTGTGGGCAGCACCTTTTGGGTTCGTCAACCCTGTCTGAGGGCTTCGTCAAAAACATCCGAGCGGCTGAACCAGAAGCATCGTGCATGCATAAGATGAAGCGAACGCAAAGCAAGACAAGGCAACAAACGCAGTCAGATGCAAGCTGAATGAGGAACGGACTAGAAGCAAAGGGTCTGATAAAGACAGAAACCCTCAACATAGACTACATAGACCACAGGCGAGCACTTGGTGATGCGGTCTGACCTGCGCTGCTTCTACATCCTGTATGGGGCACGCTACATCCAGGCCCGGCCGGCGAAAGAACTTAGATGAAGTGAATGTGCCTTTTTGCTTTAACTCCTCGACCAGGCGGCCGTCACAGTGCTGCTGGAACCCAAGAGAAAAGATTTCCTCGAGATGATGGAGTCTTGGCAGAAAAGAAGGCTGATAACACAGCACTCGGCTGCTTTCGTCCATGCCAAGGTGCACCACGTCGTCACCATCGGTGTGGCTTGACTTGCAGTTAATTGACTAATGGTGTTGCTTCCACCGATATATCATTGGGGCTTGCCTAAATGGACGTTCTGCCAAACATTTTGAGCTTGTCCTCGACACGCGAGGTGGTGTATGTGTCATACCTCGGTGGCTACAACCGCGTTGGTGTAGTGGCCACTTGTCGCACGACTGAGCGGAGGAAGCTGGACTTCTGCAGAGAGATGCCGCGACTGCTCAAGTTGAGGTCATGGTTTTGCTGGACCCAGCTGACGTGCCACTTCATCTTGCGAAGCTTGGGCTCTTCACGACTGCCGCAAAGTCCCAAACCCTATACCCTAGACCATCCTAGACCCGAAGCATTTCGACCGGGCTTGATTGTAGCAGGGACAAAATAATGTCTGACAGCAACATGAACCCGAAACCCTTCACCCTAAAGCCCAAACCCTAACTCTAACCACTCCCAGGAAGCTGTGCAAGTACACAGCCGAGCAGCTGAAGATGAACATGTGGCAGTTCGTGGCTGACAGACTCTTCGAGTTCTTTGCCGTCCTGTGCTCCGGCAGATACCTTGAGCTCGCTGGCTTGGGCGTAAGTTCCCGCCAGGCTGAAGCACAGGCTTGCAGAACATCACCATGACCGGACTCACCATCACAATTCTCATCGTCACCGCCACCAGTATCACCTCCAACATGATCTTCATCCAGATCAATGATGAAGAAAGACCCTCATCATCATCGTTATCAACAGCATCGCATGGCAGATAGCAGCAGTTACGAAGAGAATGAATCATGCGACCGGTTAAGACTATACTAGAGTTACTCGAGGAAGCGGAGATAAGGCTGTGGAGAGAAGCAAGTTCAGACTGAGGTTTGCAGTGACACGCCTCATCATGTTCGGGCCGCTCGGCAGTCCATGCTTTGGCTCTTTGCCAGCAGCTTCTGTCTCGGTGTGATGCCTTTGCCTTGAGGTACGTATGCTGGCCACACCCCGAGTTGCAATGGTGAGCACTGTGTTTTTTTGATTTTTTTGATTACTTCCCTCCCTGTGTTTCCAAGCAGGTCGGCACATATTGAGTCCGCTGCGTACTTCAAACACTCCTTCGCCGCTACCTTGTGCGTCATCTTGCTCTACCTCCTCATGGCACCTTGGCGCAAGCCTTCTGGGCCTGAGTACCGACAGAGATGCTGCATTTGTCGAGGTCTTGCAGGTCTACTGGTTTGGCCTGATCCTGAAGGCATCTGATCCCTCTCCAAAGCTTGAACGCCTCCTATCAAGATTAGAGTCCCTCCTAACCTAAAGCAGGTCGCCATCAGGCTCCTCCGGGGGCATGGGGTTGAGGATATCCGATCGGACGACGAAGATGAGGAGCCCGGGCCCCCGGACGCGTCGATGTCAGGGCCGATCTTACTGCGTCTTGCCCAGGCCGGAAAAGAAGGACAGCAAGAAAGATTCGTGAGGGTTGCAAAGGCGCTGTCTTAAATTCGCGGCTCAGGAAAGCCTGTGGCTGCTAATTGCATCGAATCGTTCTCAGCTGGTGAAGCTGCGGAAAGGGTCGTGGTGCGTCATAGTCCGTCCGTTATTGAGCATGTTCTGAGTAAAGTGGTGGACCAGGGGCGCGGTACAATACAGGAGTACATGCCTTCGTCGTGAACCAGCATGACTGCACGCATGGTCCACACATAGCACATCTACGCTTCCATTGTTTTTCTATGTTCAAACACTTGTCTACGCTCTGCCGGCATACTAGAACTGTTGAGTTTGGAAGCTTTCAGATGGCGCTTGCATGTATCGGGCCATTGACTATTGGTTGTCCAAGTGTTCGTCACAGCTAGGCCCTTTTCTGATCTTTTCTGCTCGATCTGTTCTGTTGGTTTTTGTACGTAGTGTTGTGCTGCTGTAAAGCAATGCCAGCACAAACAGTTGCTTGATCCGATGTGTTTGCTCGAACTGATTCGTTCCCCTCCACACCTACCTACCTACCTACCTGCCTGCCTGCCTGCCTGCCTACCTACCTACCGACCGACCTACCTACCTACCTACCTACCTACCTACCTACCTACCTACCTACCTACCTACCTACCTACCTACCTACCATCCTACCATCCATCCACTCTCTCACGCATGCATGCATGCATGCATATGTACGAATCGCGTGGTACAGCGGTTCCCATAGATGCTTCACGAGCATGAGATTGGCAAACACTTCTTGCTTGCAGCACCACGGCCTCACCGTCTGGCGTGCTCGGATACAGCCTGACAGCGGCTGATCCTTCGCGGCACCGTTTTGCGTAATTCGCCAAACAGCGTTGGAAGCTGGAGAACTTCAGCAAGCCGAAGCCTTGCCAAGTGAAATGGAGAAGTGCAGCCGCAGGACGGTAGAGACTTGAAGAGCTCGAGCAAGCAGCAGCCCGACGGCGGCAACGTCAGCAGGACGAGTGTTTCTTGGCCTACTCGGTGCCCTACTCCTACACCGACCTGTGTCGGCCTCAACATCTTGCTGCATTCAGGAGATGCAAGCACTGGGAGATGAAGCTTCAGCATGCTTATCAAGATGAAAGAGCCGCATGATTTAGGTCGTGAAGATAGTGGAGATGCAGGGGTAGAATAGCATGGAGGCTCTCTCGATCAGAATGGGCCCTGAGATCCTTTGAAGCTTGAGAAGTTGGCCCTTGAAGGTCGAGGGCTTTTCTCAAAGCCATGCAGATGCGCACCAGGGCATGTCGATGGAAGGGTAGGAGCCCTAAGCCCTAAAACCTTTAACCGCAATAAACCCTAAACCCTAAACTAGCCAGCTCTGTCAGCGACCTCGAGCCCTCGAGCCCTTCGCAGGGAGGCCCGAGCCACCTTACAAACGGAAACCCGCAACACACCCCAAAACACCCAAAGCCCTGGCACTGGATTCTCCGAACCCCCAACCCCCCTCACATCTAGGCCTTTTTGGGGGGTTCCTTTAGGTCTTCTAGAAGGCTCTATCCTTGGCCCCTGATCAGGCTCTCAGACCTTGCGCGCTGGCCGGTCGAGCCAGAGGCGCTGGCGCTCACTGCGGCGGGCAAGGAGGCGGAGTTCACCAGAAAACGTTCCCCGTTGATAGGAGGGTGGGGCTGCTTTCCGGGGGATGGGAAGAGGGGTTTGGGGCATCAGACTCCCATGTCCGCTGCCTTGAGTCCTTGCTGTGTTCTTGCGTCAGCTCCGCTGCGAAGCTAACGGTAAACCGTTGCAAAAAAAAACCCTAGCCTACTAGTTTTGAAGGCAGAAGCTCAGAGGAGTCCGAGCCCTCCGAACTCTCGAGGTTCTGGCGCTGCGCCTGGGCAACCAGTCTGCCCAACACAGGGTGTGCATCGTGGCAGCGGAGCTCAGTCTTCACTGGCGGCGGGGAAGAATGGAGCTGCAAAAAAGGCCCCTACTTTTCGTGTATTGGACATCAGAGAAGTGTCGGCACTCACACCTCTGACGGGTGCGTTGCTCATCTTGGCCGATCCTAACGGCCCACTGACACTCCACTGTTTGGTTACCCCAAAACGGGCGAAATCCAAGGCCAGAGCCCACCCTGGCGAGACGCATGCTTCCTGGGTGATGCGGGGTGCCGCGGCCTTGGCACAGAGCCAGACAGTACGCCGTACGCATGGGTGCTCGTTTGTTGGGCTGTTGTAGGCTTAACCAAACCACTTCCGGGGGCTTTTGGGTGTTTGCATGTTCAGGCCTCACAGCCGGCTATGGGCTTTGCTTTTTTGAGCCCGCTCGAAGAAGCTTCGAGCAACTTTGGGGCCCGCCTTGACCTCTGAGCTTCTCTCCTCCTGACAGGTGATGGAATTCTTGATGGGCGACCCTGAGGTGCAGGGCGTGTATTTCTGCAAATAAATTTGGAGACAGCACGTAAGGGACTTCTAGTGACTTCTACTGGTAGTGTGTATAAGTATGTATGTTAGAGAAGAAGCCAGTGACAGTCATGGGGTCAACTCGCCGTCGTCATCGCCAGAATGATGCCAGATTGCCAATTGCAGCTGCTGCTCCTGCCCCCTGCTGCTTTTGCCTTTGCTGTTGCTTGGGGTAACTACCGTCTCACGTGTCTTGCGTGGGCCAAAATTCTCGCGAATGCCATGCGACATGGTTGTGTGAAGGTCCAGCAGTGTGGTTTTGGAAACAGTCGCATGCTTAAGGTGCCAAGGTGTGGCATGAAAACACTTGCGAAACCAACATAAAAGGAGCGCAGTGGGTACAGTAATTCCGGAAGCACCGGTAGCATTTGCGTTCCCAGTAGTTTGTAGCCGGGCCTCGTGCCAGGCACAAAGCTGCCTCGCTCAGCTTGCATGGCTCCTTGTGCCAATGCCGCCGACTCGGATTCTCTGGGGATCTGTGTTGGCAAGGGCGCCAAAGAGAAATACCCTGATGCCTGCCTGATTCGAGGCTGAACCCTGATGGGGTTATGGCGGGTCGCACGAGGACGAATTTGGACGCGGTGGACCTCAACAGGCGCCCCTCGCTTCTCTTTGCGATGACTTTCTTAAGCATTCGTCGGGCCTGGTGGCGCTGCCGCTCGTCCATGACGTAGTACAGCCGGAGTGGTGTTGTGTGGACAGTCGTAAAGGAGGATGCGATGCCGCCCCTCGGTAGACGAGTTTCTAGGAAGAGTGATGTTGTTATTCTGCAGCTCACCTCGAGTCGTTCGTGTTATGGACACTGTTACCCGAACTACCATCGCACAGGCTCTCACGACATGGGTGCTGCGACCACTCTTCGGGATCATTCTTCTCACAACAGCCTCCAATCCCTGCATACTCCAATCCCTGCTGACCTTAGGCCAACTTAAGCCCCAAATTTCGCACCCGCCTCAGATTTTCTAGCAATTTGTCGCGAGGCATCACCATGACGACAGCGCCCCCGAGACGAAGGGGCTGAAGAGCGCACTCCAGGCCCTGCAGCCAGAGTTCCAGATCACTTCATGTCATAGCAGGCCAGCAGGTGTTGACCCTAAACCCCTAAACCCTAAACCCTAAAGTTATCTAAAACCCTGAAACCTAAACCTTAAAGTTATCTAAAGCCCTGAACCCTAAAGCGCCCCTCAAGCCTCCGATTCCTATCATCTAATCTCCCCTGAAACTCTAAACGGGGCAACACAAATTCCTCGGATTCTTACTGGATCAGGCCGAGGCCCAGGAGGGGGAGCTGCTTGCTTTCATCGACATCCACAGCCACTCCAGGTGCCCTTTGCGCCTTCTCAGGTTTTCTTTTTTGAGATGTTTTTGTAGAGCCTTAAACCCTAAACCCTAAACCCTTAATGGCGAGCTCTTCTTGGAGGCGGCGTGGAATCTTTGCCATCGCAAACGCAAGCGACGGAGATCGCCTTGTGTCACTGATGGCCTCGAGGCCTGCATCTCTTTTGCTGTTTACCCATTTAGGGTTTAGGGTTTAGGGGTGGTTGTGGTGACCCGTCTGAGCGAGCCCCACAGGACACATCTCCTGGATGCTGCTGGAACTAGCCGCTCGGAGATCCGTGCGCAGGATGTGGGCCTGAGCCCGCTTGGGCGGGCAGCACGTTTTTTGTCGCTTCATGTCTGGGAAACTTCCTGGCAACTCCGGAGCCAGGCTGGTGTTGGCCGTGTAGCGGCTGCCAGCCAGGGATACAAGTACAGTGCGACCCCGAGCCCAAAGCTTTCGGACGGGCCTGTAAGCATGTCGGATGCGGACTGCGGAAGGTTTGACCATCGAATCTTCATTGTGTGCCGGGTTCTCAGAAGAGCAGGAAGAGCCGGAGTCGACCCAAAGGCACCAGATTCGTGCTGGTCTATCTGCAGGACCTTGCCAAAATGACGAGGGTTGGGGGCGCGTCTCTTCATGTCTTGCGCTTGAGTCGAGGCTCGGCACGTGGAGGTCGGTGGTGAACACCTGTTGCTGCAGGCAGGGCAGGAAAAACTGTGTACGCCATTCAGCCGATAGCAACAGTGCGATGCGATCATGATCTCAGCGCAGGCAGTGTACGCACGGGTGTTAAGAGAGAGAGAGAGAGAGAGAGTGTGTGTGTGTGTGTCTATGTACGCAGCCGCCGGTCGCGCGTTCCTGGCTGCACACAAAAATTTCCCACCCTCCCAACCCCGCTTTCAATCCCACAGAGGGCAGTGCGTTTTCAGCGATTACAGCGAGTGCCCCTGGCGTGGGCTCTGTTTACAGGGGCATGTGCCCGACGTGTGTAGGCTCCGAAAGGGGGATAGGCTAGCAGCAGCGGGGCGGGTGGTCCTGCTGCCTGGCGGTGTGTGCATTGTGACCATTGGAAACGGTAATGCACGCCTTAACGTACTAGTGTCGTTCAGTGTTGTTCCCCTTCTTCCTCGTCGCACCAATACTGCCTCGACAAGGCAATTCGCAGCATCTCGCAAAATCAGAATCATGAACAAGTGTCGCACCGAGGAGCACAATGATTTTGGAAAAGCGGTACCGATGCTCTCCGGTGCTCATCGCCATGATGAGCACCACTTTTTGTCACAGAAGGTTTACTGAGCTTAGTGTCGTTGATGTGCAGCTGTCAGAGAGGATCAGAGAGGACTGGCTTGCAGGATCTGGCCAGCGTCGGCCGTGCGATTTGTCGGGGGCTCTGCACGAGCGTTCTCTGGCTCTCTCTGGCGAATTTAGAACCCAGGCCGCAAAACCCCGGAGCTCGAGAACTTCGAGCCTAAACGCTGAATCCAGAACTCCTCGCGGGCGGTTCTGGTACTTCTAAGGCCTTGCAGTGGCCGACCTCCTGAGTTCCACCGACGAGACAGCCAATCAAGCTCCTCCCGAGACAGCCGCGAAGGCAGAATTTAGGGCATCTAGGGTTCAGGGTTCAGGGTTTAGGGTTTATAGGGTTTAGCGATTCCATCGTAACGGGTCATGTGTTGATGCTCTGGAGAGCGAGAGCCATGAGAGGCGGCAGCCGCGTGCAGCCGCATCTTTGATGGTTACGAGTCAAGCGTAAGGTGATGTAACGTGTCCAAAGGCTGGTTGCGAAGGGGCGTTTTGCACTTCGAAACCTGCATTTCTGAAACTAGTGCAAGAAGAGAAGATGTGAAGAGAGCCCCTTTACTCTTGTGCTTTTCCAGCAGCCTGAGCTGCAAAGCCACTGCATGCCGATGCAGGTCCCGAACTCGATGTTCGCCGAAGGCGTCGTTGATGCCGAGGACTCACCCGGTTGACGGTAGTAGATGGAGGGATGTGGCTAGCGGCAAAGGAGTTATGATGTTATGGTCGTTGGTGTACGAGAGACATCATTGGCGCAGTAGTGCCGGTAGCACGAGAGCTCCGACGGTGACTTGTCCACAAAGTCGATGAAAGCAAGGGGTCTACCATCACTTGCGACTCGCAAGGACAGGTCAGATCTGGCAATTTAGCATGCGTCCTTGGAAGTGACACAAGAGCAACTGAGCACGTGGATACAGCGTTCTGCGTGAACCCTGATCCCTGAACCCGCAATCCTAAATCCTACACCTCAATCCCAAACCCTAAAAGCCCTAGCCCTAACCGTAACATCCCGACAGGACCATGATGAAGCCGATGAAGAAGCCATTTTAGAAGAAGAACGCCGGCCCGACTCCTCGTAGCGTTTCTCCGGCATCTTGTGGCGATCTGGGCAGCAGAACCATGATCTTGGGGGTCATGGGTTCATCCGGGTTCCTATGCTGTTAGGGTTTTTAGATTTTGGGGTTTAGGGAACCGTGCCCTTCTGAAGGCCTCGATCGCCTCAGTTTGCTCTCCCGCCGCGTTCGTCGGTGGCCATCCTGCTAAACGGATCATGGTAGGATCTTCGTCCTCGAATCCAATCGCAGGTTTCCCCGCCCTTTGCGGCTGGAAATCCCTGCCCCGATGATTTGCCAAAGTTAGCTTTAAGAAAGCTGCGAACTGCGAGGATGGCCTTCTTTGGACGGTTCCACTCGGAGTGCTCTTCTCCAGGGTTTCAAAAAGGCTGCGGAGAGCCTGGCCCCATCCTCGAGCTGTCGATTTCTGACCTTTTACCTCGTCTGAGCGGGGTTTAGGGTTCAGGGTTTAGGGGTTTAGGGTTTAGGGTTTAGGGTTTAGGACGGTTTAGGGTTTAGGGTTAGGAGTCTATAGGAGGGCAGGACTCTGGCTTGCCTTCTGCGGTCGAGCAGCGTTTCATCTTGACAGCGCGCGCCGTCGCGCGTGCCTGCGTGCAGAAACTTGAGATGGAGCTATTCTCGGCCGAGCAGTCTACGTGTTGTCGGTATCTTGCAGTGCAGCATGCTGCTAGGGGCCAATTCTGAGTTCATCTTTCTCTGCTCAAAGATGCATGTCCAATGTCTTTGTCGTGGAAGATTCTGCAAAGCATTCGAGACATGAGCCTCGCTTTCACGAGCTTGCCTTCTAGATGTTCATCTTCCTGTTCTGATCCTTGCCAAGCCGCTAGCGCCCGGGCCAACGTCCCGATGCGAGACAGGCCTTCCGTGAACCTTTGCGCAACATGTACTGCATTGACTGTTGTGTTGCATTGCCTGAGAACACTCTGCGTGCGTGTTGGTGCCGTCAGTTCTCGAACGCTTCGCCCTTTTAACTGCCGATTTACTGTAGATTTACTACTCCATCATGGCAATTGTGAAGCTGTTGGTCTTCGCATCATGCTGGCCAGTCCTGATACAGGCTGAAGCCGTTGAGGACGTGATGCCGGTGGGTGATGACGTCGACGATGAATGCGCTTCCCCAGGATGTGCGCTTCAAGCTTTGCAGGCGCGTGCCAAGACCGTTGTCAACCAGGCCACGGCGGACGCGACTTCTGACAAATATGCGAGCGTCCCGGGGGTCGGCGATGATGGCTGGGACGACTTCCTGCCTGATCCGGATGATGTTGGTGACGAAGAGGACGACAGCCTTCCTGATGAAGAAGGGCCTACTGGTCCTGGTCTGTGTGGCACCGAGACTTACGACCACTCAAAGGAAGGATGCTGCGGCAGTGAGCTGTTCGACCTGACGACGCAGAGCTGCTGTGGCAATGACATCTTTGACATCAAGGACGAGGATTGCTGCAATGAGACCACAGTCTACAACACCACCAAGCAAGGCTGCTGCAATCACAAGCATGTCTTCAATCTCGGTGAAGAGCACCTGCACCGCAGTAAGCAGCACTTCTTCGCGGTTCGTTACTTTAGGATGCTTATGCTAGCTGCTAGCTCTTAGCTTGATACTAAGGTACCTCACCTTCGCGCTCAAGTGCATTGCCCCTGCGAAGCCGCCATGGAACACGCAGTTCGACTGCACCGAGGAGTGGCCCCCCAAGAGCTATGCTGAGACCTGGAGCCGTTACTGTGCTGCGAAGAGGCGAGGATATCACATGGCGTGGGCAATGACCCGCTCCTGCGAGGTGGGCTGGCTCTCCGTCATCCAACGGACGCAGGAAGATGCGAAAATGAAGAGTAAGTCGCAATGCCAGTCGAGATCTAACCAGTACAAGAAGGAGACCTGCTACATCTTTGACTTCGACGGCAAGGCCTGCCATCGTCAGCGCTGCGGCAACACGCTCTACGATGCCACAATGATGGGCTGCTGCAACGGGGAGGTGTTCGACTCGCGGACTCACGACTGTTGTGCGGGCACCATCTACGAAACCAAGACAACCGGATGTTGCAACGGCAAGGTGTACCACAAAGAGCCGCGCAGGTGCTGCGGTGGGAAGCATCTCTTCAACAGCAACACGCATGGTTGCTGCTTGGAGAAGGGACCCCAAGTGTTCAAGTTTGGAAAGCAGAACTGCTGCGCTGCCCCCAGAGGCATCTGCAAGATTCCCACAGGTATCGAATCCTGTTGCAAGAAGGAAGGGAGGTTCCAAAAGAATTGAACCTCAAGGCAGTGAGCACTGATGAGCACTGCCCCTGAACCAGTCTTGCTATAAAACGTGGCGACTGGTAGATTCTAGATTCTTGACTTGAGCACTGCTCGATTGAAAGAGGAGTGGAGATTCGTATGCTTTGGTCAAGCCGAGCAGCGAACGCTATCTCTTCCGAACGCATCTTCCAAGCAGGTGCCCCGTCGGAGCCGCGGCGCAGGCCGGGAACTCGTGTAAACTGCGGAGCCCCTGGAGCTGCCAGCTTGGATGACAGCTTAACCTTGTGGGGGGGGGATCCATGCAACTTTGGGATCCATCTTTTTCATTCAGACCTCAACTGGGGAGCTGCCTGAAGGCGGCTGCCGTGTAGGGTTTACGATGGGCTAGAGCCAGCGATGTAGGTATCCCGCTTTATTCCTCGAAGTTCGCTAGGTGAATAGGCTGAGAAGGCTGAGTAAGACATATCGCAATTAAGAGTTAGAGTAGACCCCTATAGTACTCACTCTGGCAACGCAACCTCTTCGACTCCCCGAGGGTCATTCATGCTTGTTCCTACGGGACAAGACGTACATACAAAACTGAACACTCAAGACTGGTAGCAGCAGCCCTTGTATCTGCACATGAGCTGGGGACCTCGGTTTATTCAGATTTCATGGACCCCAGCAACCTAGCGGAACAAAGCCGATGAGGGTTAAGGCGGCTAAGGGTTCGGAGCCAGCAGGTTTTGAGCAAGTAAACCGTGAGCAGGGCTACATCGAAGGGGTCTTGATGCACGTCTCTTTTGCGTTTCCTGTGAACTTGCATCATCCCAGCCAGCTGCCCGATGTGATCGCGTGCAAGATGATCAGCACGCTCGGATGAAGAGTGAAAATGCCATGCTCGATGCAGTAGAACCGGATTCCCGAGCAGGGGGGCATCGGTTGGGTGTCTCATGGGAGAGAAATTTCTGAAGGCTCGTTGCAGACTTGCTGCACGAGGGCTCCTCGTCCTGTGGCAAGTGTGCTGGCAATCTGGTGCACGCAGCAGGCGTTCAGCTTGGCACGGCACCGGTCGCTCATTCTGGCTCAAGTCCGAGTGAGACATGCAACCCCATGCTTCTCTCCCAGCCCTCCCCACGCTTCTCCTGTTCAACCCAATCGTAACCTCATCATGACATGCCTTCCGAGCCCATCAGTCAGAATGCCGCCTGTAGTGTGATCAGCCTGGTGCAGCCGAGGACCGTTTGATGCCAGGGCTCCTACTGGTGGGCTCCCTTCTTTACGTGCTTTTCTTCGTGAGGCGTGCGGCCGGCGATCCGCCATGACAGGCTGCGGGCTCCGCCGAGAGAACAGCAGAAGTCTGTCACGGTGCGGAGAGCCTTGCTGAGGTGCGCTCGACCTCAGCTTCGGCTTTAGTGGCCCAGGCGCGAAATAAATCTGAAGCCGTGGCCCGTGGCGTCCGTTGACATCCCCCGTTGACATCGAAGGCGATGAGGATAAGAGCTGCCGCCCCAGCTTTCAAGGATGAATTGAGTAGTTGAGAGATTTCCGAGTCCCTGCGTGGGAGGTGATTTGCAGCACCAGGACGCTCCCCCAGACCGCCGGCGCCTGACACGCTTTCGGAAGCAGCTTTAAAACCAGCAGTGGGCAGTTCTCTGCCGTGGTTTGTGTCGAGGCTGCGCTGGCCTGGGACAAAGCACTGGCGGACAGCTCGCCAGGAGCTGCCTGGGGTTGGTGGGTGCGCAGACGCTGAAAGACATTCGCGCGGGCTTCCAAGCCCAGGCGGTGCCTTCCCCGGACCCGGAAATCGCAACCTGGAAAGCTTCGGCTCTTCCTCGCCTGAGGTGAGCAAGGATGTGGAGCATGAGCGCAAGCCGCTGGGAGTCACGAGCCCATCGAACCTTGCGATGAAAGCTGCCGAGAGGCCGCCACCGCTATGTTGTGGACCCGTTTTGATCCAGTGCACTCTCGTACCCGGTGCTTGCGAGATGACTCCGAGCTGGGATGAAGTCTCAAAAAGAAGCTCCGAGCAGTTCGTTGATGCCTGCAGGGAACTCACGCTGACGCCAGTCTCCCCGACAGCAACACCAAGGGCCTGGGACTCGACTTAGGAGTACGCCCACATGTTTGGGCCATCCATGTTCTGGAGTTACATGGGCATGCCCGGGTTGGCTTATCCACACACAGGCTCGCAGGTTGACTGAGCGAGGATGCTCGATCTTGATAGTGTTCACGGACATCCTCTGTTGTCAACCGAATTAAGCAAAAAGCAAGGACACGAATAAGTGCAAACATGTTATTCAATAAGTATGTAATACTGTTATACAATAATTAATTTGTGTACTCACAATACGGTATACACACAAGGACTATCAGAATCTAGGATGACAAGTACGTTTGCTAACCTAAGGTTTCCAGTTTTTGCTTCTTTGAGAACGACAGCGTGCCCGAGGCTGCAGTGACAGAAGCCATGTTCACCTTCTCCGAACCACGGGGGCGTCGAGCTCAGCTTGCTTAGTCTTCTTGCAATGGTCGAAACAACGAACCAACAGCATCTTCTTCTCCTACGTACGTACGTACTTACCCCGACAACGACAACGACTACTGCTACTTCCACTCTTATTGCTGCTGCCACTGCCACTGCCCCTGCCTCCGCCACTGCCACTGTGACTGCACTACCACGACGACGACAGCAACTACGACGACGACGACAGCTGCTGCTGCCGGTGCTTCTTCTACTACTACTGCTTTAGCACCACCACGACGACGACCACCACCACCACCACCACCACTACCACCACCACTACAACTCTGATTACTGCTACTACTACTTCGCTGCTGTTGCTACTACGACTACCACCACCACTACCACTCTGATTACTGCTACTACTACTTCGCGGCTGCTGCTGCTACTACGACTACCACCACCACTACCACTCTGATTACTGCTACTACTACTTCGCAGCTGTTGATACTACTACCACCACCACTACCACTCTGATTACTGCTACTACTAATTTGCTGCTGCTGCTGCTACTACTACTACTACTTCTTTTGCTCCTGCTACTGCTACTGCTACTACTACTACTACTACGACGACAACTACTACACTACGACTACTACCACTAGTACGACAAGTGCGACTACAACGACTACAGCGACTAGAGCGACTACTGCTACTACTCTGGCTGCTGCTATTTTTGCTGCGTTGGGTTCTGGTCGTGCGTGGAGCGTGCAGCTCTGTCTTTGCCAGCTGAGGATGTGGTACAGCCTTCTTGTGAACGATATGTGCCCGCCGCCGCAAGAGGACCTCCGTTTTGCCGGAATGGCCGGAAATAACATGGGTGCAGGAGCCTAGGGCCAGGGCGTCAAGTTCAGGTCTCTGTTTAGAAGGTACGGGGTTCGGGTCTAAGGATGTAAGGCTCGGCCAGAGTTCTAGGATGCTGCAGGGACGTGGATCCTACAGCTAGGGGATATTGCAGAGGACCTCAACAAGGTGATCTCCCACCGCTGGGCCTTCCAAGGTGTGGCCGTTGCATTTAGATTCTTTACGGGGAACCATCGCAGAGCGCGATGAGGTGCAAGACAACAGCTTAAGAACACCGCTCGGCAAGAGAACGCAACGAAGCCGAGATGAGAAGTGTGGGGTTTGGTGTGCGCGTTACATTCTGAAAAACATGCGAGCATGCGGGCCACACCATATGTGCAGCTTGAGACACACACACACACACGCGCGCACGCACACGCACGCACACACGCACGCGCACACGCACGCACGCGCACACACACACAGACACACACACACACACATACAGGCTTATCATGCGTCTGTATGTGCATGTATGCTGGTACTCGTATGTCACTACGCCTAGCTTTTCCTTCTGAGTTTTTGTTGAGGCGCTCTGGAGCTCGCGGCGCAGCCTCGACTCGCTTGGCCAAGGGCTCCTTCACCCACCCCACACGTACCCGCGCGTGCCCGCACATGCTGCCGCGCTCTGCGTGCAAGAACAAGGGCACAGGCCGGTGAAGATGATGTGTGTTTGTATATGATTATGTCCGAGGACACATAGGCTCGAATTAAGTAGAGAGGCTGCAGTTGGAGATATGCATGTGGGCATATGAATGTTGTTTTGCTTTTGCCACTGTTCTGGCTGCTTGCGAAGACAAGGATGCTGCTGCTATCTTACTTCACCGGTCTACACTTATGTGACTCTTCGACTTGATTGTCATAAGGCTGCGGCAACCGTTCTGGTAGTCATGAAAGTGCAAGAACGTTTACTAAGTCAGATCGTGTCGGTTCGTCATCTTTTACCAGAAGCGTCGCATGTTGCAACGCACGACTGTACGGCTGTAACGCAACAGTTGAAGATGACATGGCCAGGCAGGGCAAGAGCATCTGCTACTTCATTCTGTGCCGCTCCTAAGCTGTTCGATGCATTGCCTCCGGCCCACAGCATGGGGTGAGACACAAGCTGCCAGCTGAGGTGCCTGCTGGAGATCCAGAGGAACATTCAGATGGATCAGGATGCTCGGGAAAGTGCAGAGGTTGGGTAGGCACCCTTTGCAGCATCACTGGGCGGAAGATTTGCTGGGTTGGGCTGCGCGAGAGCCGGGCTAAAGCGAGGCCCGTCTCAGTTCTCAGAACGGACCGCCTCGGAAACCTTGGCAGTTAAGGTACAAGATGCTTTCATTACGATGCTGACTCTGAAGAGAGAGTACTGTAGGAAGTGGGTCGACGAGGGTGCAAGCTATACAAGTATGGCAAGACGGCCAGCTGACGACTGCATGGCATTCTCGCGAAATCAGAAGACTGCTCTGGGCACTCGGAAACTAATTGGCACCCAGTCCTGTGCCCGCAAGGAAGACGCAGCCTTGCACCCCAGCCTCTTGGACGCGTGCTGCCGGCTCGTCATCGACGTGAAGTCACGGTGGGGAAAGAGCCTGAAAGCAGGTTAAGCTGAGCCGGGAGTATGGCTCTGCTATGGGCAGTTTGAATGAAGATGACAATGATAAGGTGACGACGACGGCGATGAAAAAGGGAATCTCTGGTGGTGATGATGATGAAGGTAATACTAACAATAATGAGAAGAATAAGACGAGCAAGAATAATTCCAACGAGGACTGCTTTAGCAGTAGCAGCACAGTACGAGTAACGGTAAGGTAGCAGAACAGTAACGACAACAACAACACATCCAGCAGCAGCAGCAGCAGCAGCAGCAGCAACAACAACAGCAACACTAACAGTAATAAGAACAATGAACAATAGCAATAACAATAACAACGATGAGGAATGCTAGTAGTAGTAGTCGTCGTAGTCCTCGTCGTCGTCGT